AATATTCTCGATGACTTCCTTTTGGGGTAAACGGTGAGGGTTTATGATTTTTCAGAATGAGATTGAGAGGTATTGGTGGGCCTTTCTAGGAAATTTCCATCGCCCATTCATCGGTGGAAAGTTTGTTCAACTATTCATCTTTTTAGAATTCTTTACAGAAATTTTTTGACTTCTATAAGGCACTCGCCTCTTCCACTCTCCGGGGAGCACTTCCACTTTCTTTGGGCCACGTAAGCTCGTTTTAGGATCTGAAATGCGACCTTTCGCAATCAAGATAACGTGGCCCAATAAAAGTGAAAGTGTTGGCCGGAGAGTGCAGGATGCGAGTGCCCGTAGCACTGCTTCTATAACTAAACCTTCGGTCGTTCTTCACGTGATGGCGCAGTGGTATCACTCCGATCCATCACTGCGAACACCACTAAATAGTATTTCACTCTCAACTCCATTTCTTTTACGCTTTATTAAAAATATATAATAATAATAATAGGTAATTCTCTTTCTCGAAAATAAAAAATTTTTAATTATCATTTTTTGAAAGATGTAAAATTTTAAATTAAAAAAATTTTAATTTTAATTTCAAAATAAATAAATAAATAACATATAACATTTATAATTAAAATAAAAGTTAATTTTACTATTTTTAAAATAATAAACTATAATAATTATATAATTATTTTTTTTATCATCTACGTTAATAAAAAAATTTATCATTAATTTCACATTAAAAAACTAAATTTCTCCTTTTAAAAAAAAAAAAAGTTAACATCAACAATCGTTCTTTGTTATTAAATAAAAGTTCAAATTAAGTCTTCTATAATTAATTTATCTCATGTCCTTCTTTTTATTATTATTGTTATACAATAGAAAACATAAAGAAAAAAATGGAGGTAGAGGTAATTTTTGTAGGTTAGATGAAAGTTGAATCTCTAGCTTATAGCTTTGAAGTTCCTTAGGCATTGAGAGTTTAAACCAATGCTGTATAAAGAACATTTTAATAGTTAAAAATTTGAGTTATTAGGATAAAAATCTCAAATTTAAATTTTATGGTGAGTGAAAAAAAATTTAAAATAAAAAAATTTATTTCATATTATATAATTTATTATTTAGTATAAAAAAAATTGCGTACACCAATTGATCTACTTTACCTAGTGTAATTAATACCCATTTATTTTTTTTTATTATTTATTTTATTTATTTATTTTTAGAGAACTGATGTACATTTTTTTTTTTTTAAATGAAAACAGATTGAAACCCTGAATCACATCGAGGGAATGGTTTTCCTGTCGTAGCATCATACCTCTGTGCAGGACTAAACCTGTTCTGCTGAACTATTTCTATTAACTATGCCCCATCTCTTTGTTCATCTGGGGAAAAAACCTCTATGGTTTGATACAAAAAGCCTAAGCAAGCTATCCAATCGGACATGAGGAGAGAAAAATGCGCTTATCACATCTCTTTCTGAGTCTTCACCATGGGAACGGTGAGAGTCTTTGGCTGGTGCGGAGTTGCGAAGTTATGAAGATATGAAGCTACGGAAGCTGGTAGATTGCTTGCCAACAATGCTTTTGATTCCATAATACTGTTGAAGAGAAATTTTGCCAATCCACCGATTTCGAATTCATATTGCTCATAAATGAAGAATGCAGTGAAAGCAAACACCAGAACTGCAGCATTTTCGAACAAAGTCAATACATAGGATAGAAACGATGAAAAATGAACTAGAACGGTTACATAATCAGTAAAATAAATAGTCGCTTGCACTTGGTCTTGTGATACAATCATTAGTATCATTGAAAAAGTACATATTTTTCCGAAACCGCCTCATGATAAAAAGTTAAAAAAAATATATAATCGCTTACTCATGCCGGCCAGAACAGTCACCAAGTAAGACAACAGGAACTTGAGAGCGTAAAGAGAACCTGCAACCTAAATAAATAAATAGAAAGTAAGAAACGTGCTACCAGACTTCACAGCTCATGCAAGAAACTTGTCATTTGTCAAATACCAGCTGAAATATGCCCAACAAACTGAAAAATGCAAGGAACATGCCTAGACACCTAAAGCTCAACAATACAAATAAATTATCCAAGTTATAATGGGGTAACTACCAAAGGGGTTTGTTAACCAAGACATTAATGTGCCACTAATTTCTATGTTGTCAAACATCAGACCTTTTTTCCAAGGCCGTGAACATCAGAATTAAGAGAATTGGCAATAGTGAGTTTTTGGATAGGATATTTCCTATTTGACATGTTTTAGAACTGGTACTCACAATCAGTCACTGTACACAAGGGGTGGGTGAACTGCATAAAACATAATATCACTTAAAGGTATAATTGTTGTGAGCGATTTACTGAATCTGTCATAATGCATACCTTGAAAACAGTATTCCAGTTCTCTCCCTTGGCCAATGACCTTATAGTACGAGCCCCTCTATTCCATTCATAAGCTATGGATCTAATTGAATCTCTCATGACTGTTTCTGAGATTTCAACACTAGGCAAACGTATCCTCCAGATTAAATCCAATCTGTTGCAATGTAATCATAATTAGTAGATCCTTTATTCTTTAGAAAGTTGGGGAAAGACAGAAGCATGACAAGAAATACTGACCAATAGAACAAGACAGAACAAAAATTGAACCACAAAAGTAAAAGTTGAAACCATAAGATACAAAATCCAAGCAGCTGCTTGTGATTCCACGTAGAAGTAATTAGAGAGACAAAGAAAGGAACAGAAAAAAGGAGGAAAGGGTCTTGGAAGGTCAAACGAAAATTCCATCAAACATTCAAGGTATTTATAAAATGAAAACTTACATCTCCAACGGTATAATGCCATATCCACAAAGCACTATTGCAACCCATAGCAGAAGACTGGCCATGGATGAGATAAAAGTTCTTCCACAGAGAGAGAACCAGTAAAACACCAGAGCCAGAGCAAGAAAGCATGTAAACGTTTTCCTTTCATCTCTCCAGAGCAAAATGTCAGAAACTGCAGTAAATTAGTTCCAGGTCATTTCACAGCAAAGGTTATGCTGTCAAATCCTTAAAAAGAAGAGACTAGTTGGATGTATCAAACGAAAAGATATTTTACTGCCATACTGGACAGATATGTCTCAAGCCTTCTAGTGATTATCACTTGGTGCATCTTGTTCTATGCCAATATCTGTTCACTTTGACACTTGAGAAGACTATCTATGGTAATGGCTAACCATTACAATCATAGAGAAAAATAGGTTCTTCATTAGTGTTTGCTGAAGAAACAAGCCAAGTTATGATAAATCCTTTCCAAGATAACATCCTGTAACAAATTTGCATGCGGCTGGGAGCAGATGGGATCAGAAAATCAGGCACAAAAGTGTTGGGCAGATTGCTTGGCTATTGGATCATCACAACCCTAATTGACCAGATTTTCTTTATTCAAAACACCACTAATGAAACCAACCATTAACACTGATTTCCAGCCCATAATATTTTCAGCAAAAAAAAAAAAACAGCACAGAAACTAGGACAATAGCATGATGTCTAAGATCGAACATCAATCCACCCTCAGTCTAAAACATTACAAGGACACTTTTCCAAAATCTCTAGTTTGGACATAAACTCCAGTTTGAAAAAATGAGCAATGCTACTGTGCAGTTCCAATGAAGAATCAAATACTAAAATACCTTTCCCTCCTCCAAGCAGCTTCTCTGCTTTTGATTGTCCTTCATAGTAGCTGTATCTCTCAAAATCTTTGGCTAAATGTGTGAATGATTCTACTGTTGATGTA